ATTCAAATAAAAATACATCAACTTTTAACCATTTAACCTGGAATTTGCATTCTTATTGAGAATGGGTGTTTAAAGATGTATGCAGTGTAAGATAAAAGTCACATTTTACGGTCATCCAATATTGTTTAGAATTGAAGATTTTATATTTACAGATTCATGATATGATGTGGTGGTGATTGGCCTATGATTTTACGATGAAAGCGTTGTCTCTATTAACGCATGCCTAATGCGTCGATTGATTTTGAAAAGTATAGCCTACGTTTTGGGATATGATTGGGATCTTGTGGTATATATGATAGAAGTTACCATGGGCCTAAAATCGAAAGGCTTTCCCCGATTCTCAAATGGGCTTGTAAAAAAAGGATCGACGTGTATTCATTTTGTTGAAATACGGTATCGGCATGATCGGGATGAATACATTTACTCGGATATATTCTAAAATGAAATAGTTTACGAATCGTTTAACCATGGGCTTTCAATAGATTGGTTTAACGTACATTAGGCCTTCATTCTGATTCATTTACTTTGGACAGTTTGTAATGAAGATGGCTTGGCCGCATTCAGTAGTCACTTTTTGATGTAAACTTGACAAGAATTTTGTTTGCCAACAAGGACCTAAGCATGTAATATAAATTTCTGTGTGAATTAATAATGCGCGCTTTGTTCAAGAGCAAAGTGCATGAGTTAGTATTATTGACGTCTTTTAAAAAATTAAATATCATCGCATATATTTTAGATGAAGATGTTTACCAATTTATAGACAAATAATTTCGAAAGGTATATGCTCTATCTGATTTTAAAATATTTCTCGAATGCATTTTGAATGTAAAATCTAATAATAAAAAGCCGATATCTACCGGGCTTGGTGCTTTTAATTAAAAAAATAGACCGAAAAACCGTTGGGTGTAAGGAATGAATACAGACCCCATGGTTGGATAAACACGTTTTCTGTAAAAAAAAGTGTGTGCCCGACCAGAGGGTTTGTAGTCATTCATACTCCAACTGTTTTGAGGTCTAGCCTATATTACGATTGGGACATGACGCAACAATTCAACAAAAAATGTTGTTAAATACTCTATGTGTTCATCATAAAGCCATCGTAGCAAGTAAAGCTGCCAACAAAATGACGGTATTAAGCAGGCTAATCCATATGAGTTTTCTCAGTGTCATTACCCGTCCTGTATTTTTGCATGGTATGTGGTCCTGGGTCAAAAAACGTAGAAAAGGAACAGAAATCTGACGAATGTGTGCAGAACAGTAAAAGAAATTTTTATTCTGGCTAAAACAGTCCTCAAAACAATATGTACTGGATAAAGCATAAGAATGAGATTTTATAAGAAATAATACACCGAAGACCTGAGGTTATTATTTCTTATCAAATCGAATTCGAATGCTTTATCTTACTTAAATCACACAGACTCTTATAAGAGGTAAATGGTCTATTAAAGGTTAATGATCTAAGTCTGGAAAATGAGTCTTTTGTATTGACTATTCAAACTGTGAAGTATATGCAAACTTCAACCAGGCTCACAGTGACCCTGGCTCTTATTGGTTGAAATTTGTTAATATATAGCTTCCGCTCCCTCAGCTCCCTTAACCCCCCGCCATACCGTAAGGATAGAAAATTGAGGGAAGGCGGAGTTCTAATTGCTGTCAACAGCAACCTAATATCTGTGGAAAAGGATGCACCTACAGATTGTGAGAATAGGGAGTTTAAGATTAGCGTAAATAACCCATTTACCTATAGCTATACGTAGTTTGTTATTACACTAAGCGGTATTTTACCTAAGTTACAGGGTTTACGATACGTAATTACCTATAAATGGCCGAAGCTAGGTAATTCGAAAACGTATGTTTTTATCAAACAAATTGTGTCATTTCTAGATCAAATATCATCCAATAAACTTTAAAATAGTAACACCAAACATTTCTCATTCGATCTGTATAGAAATTAAGTGGTCGAACACATTCATTGATGCGATAAACGATGCCATGTGATGATGCATGAAATTGTTGAATTTACAAATTCTTCATCAGTTTTGCTTATTGTAAATGTATGAAATCAGCCATTATATCGTGGTTTTAATTGTTTAACTTTACTATTTGGCCACTCTCATTGCTAGATCATGCTAGAAATTTAACATTTCGGCTTAAGTCACTGCCCCATTAGCGGGCCCACAAGCATCACCCCCTCCCAACTACAGTAGCTACACCACACACTCTCTGAAGTATATAACAATTCTTGGAGGTGACATGTACTGGTATATGCTATATAAGCCATCGCATGGTTTTTATTCTATGATTAGGAGTTAATTTTATCATAAATTGTAGCATATGGTTTCGCAGCCTTTTACGTTAATCTTAAACTCATTTTGCAATACGCATTACCTATACATATCCGTAACAAACATACGGATAGGGATAGGTACACGTATATTTTTACGCTAATCTTAACCTCCCTATTGTATGGTCTAAGCTCTCCCTTAACTGTAACGTTCTATAAAGTCGGTCAATGTAGTTACATAAAGCTTTGGGTTTAGTAATATAATATATATTTAATTAAGACAAACATAAGGTATATATGATCATTATCTTGATATGTTACTACTCAAGAGTCTCTATTTTAGGTTCAATACTTTAATTGTTGATGTTTTACTCTATTGAAATACCAGTGTCATATAGAATACAGAGTGACACTATAACATCACCGCACTATGTTGATGTCATGTAGTCACTGCATGGCTTCCACTGCATGTACTGTGAGAGTCCCACTACGCTGAATAATACACATGCTGAATAACGGCATTGTCTCAGATATATGTCTTCTAAGTCACACTAAGAGCATCACGATAATAGTCCATTTGTCACCCCTATACATACTATAGTGAACCTATGAATTGTTAAAAACACGATGTTTTATGGTTAATTTATAATAACAAGGGTTTTCTGGAGTGATTTAACTGGGTTGGACAAAAAGTTAGTTTGGGGAAAAAAGTATATCGGCTGATTAGGGAGGGGTGCATTGGCTTAACATGGCGTTGATTATTGACTTAGCTTCGGGATACCACCATGTACCTGGTATGTTACCATGGTGATAGATACAAAAAATTTCCCCCAGCTAAATCACTCCAATAAACCCTAATGATAGTATTTGCACAGAAAAACATCATGTTTTTAAATATTCATACGTTAAGAAAATGACAAATGGACTAATAACGTTGATATCAAAAGCATCTCAATCAGTCTCTGTATAAGCACATAGGCAACAACACAACACATAAGCACCTCACAGGGCTGCTGGGTTCGGGCTGAATATATAAAATACAACCCCCAAAATAACACTGAGTTTCAACATTATAAATTGTACAAGTTATGTATCCAAAGAACCAGTATAAAACTTGGCCAACCATGATAGTGGACGATACAAAAGTTTACAATATATTTACAAAACATTAATGTTTCCAGATACTGAAGTAAAGTGAGAAATAAACCAAGTTTATTTCACAAAAATAATAAAATATCACCACATACTTTGTT